CAAATTTCCATTTGCTATTTAAACTCGATTTTCCTTTTACCATATGAAGAATTGAAAGATTTGATTTTGATATTATATGATTATTGTAGTTAGCATTTAATAGTTAATGTTAGGATAATCGCAAATGTTAATTTGGTAGTAATTAAATGAGATGTGAAATCTCAGAGGCGATATTTGAGAAACAAATGTAGAGTTAATATTGATAGATTTTGGGAATTATTGGTAAGTGAAAAATCTTTGAAACTGAATTGATTGTTTTGGAGAATAATATCTCGGAGGATTTAACTAATGGGGGAGTTAAATGAGGGTAAAATTGGGTTTTGATTTTTTAAAAAAACCTATTTGACCAATCTACAAGAAAAAGAGATATATGGACAAATTTTTAAGTAGATATCCTTTATTTCCAATTTTCCCATATAATATGGAGTGATTTTGGAAAGATTGTTAAACGGCAAATCTATAATTCTATTCTTTAATTGTAATTGTCGACATCAAAATTAAATGCTAGTGGCATAGATTCGTAAATAAGTTTCACTTTTTAAAAAGTTTAAATAATTATAATATTTAACTTTTAATAAATTTTAAAATATTTATAATATTTAGAAACTTTTTAAAAGTTTCAATTCTTTAAAATAAAGAACACGAGTAAACTGGATAACACTTTCAAGTATGGACGTTTGATAAATCAAGTTTCCTGCTCATTGATATTTAGAATCATTTTGGTCCTTTTAATAGTATGACTCTGAACTATTGCCTAGGAGCCTGACTGGTTTAAACGCAGCGGTTACGGTTGCGGTAGTTTGCGGAAGCAGGCGGTTGTGGTTTCAAGCGTTACCAAACGTTTTGAACGACTGGTTTAGCGTTTGAAAATGGATGCGTTTGCGAGAGTTTTATGACTGGTAAACCAGCGGGTGCGGTAGCAATTAAATAAAAAAATGACCACTAAATAAAAAATATTACAAAAAAAGAAATAAAAACACCAATATAATATTATGATAATATTAGAAAAATTGAACATGCTTAATAATTAAAACCATAAATAAAGTACTAAATAATTATTCAAAAATAAAAAAAAATTGTAATAAGATAGTACTTTATGCTGGGTTAATACCAAAAATTGCATCAAGTAATGGGATAAACTGTAAATAACGTTGAATTCAATCAAAAAGCAAGTGATTTTCTATTCGAGAAAATAAATCGAAACATATATTCAATCAAAAAGCAAAACAATACCTAATGAAAAGAAAAAAATGATGCCATGAAAAATATTCAAATAGTTACACACGAGGTGATGAATGAATAAAAGGATATATGATACTTACGTTTGGTTCTTGATTTTCATCAGTTTGGGTGGAAGACATTGAGAAAATAAGGTTTTTGAATATTGATTAGGGTTTCCGATGAGAACATGATACAAAGATGAAAGATATATATAAGATTAATATATTTTATAATAATTAAAAGTTAACGTTTGATTTTTTTTTTTTCTTTAAATCCAACCGCTACCGCCCGCAACCGCAAACGTTTGCGGGAATGAGCTTTTGAAATTCAGCGATTTCGAGCGGTTTGAAGCGGTACGGAGCGGTTTCTATGATTGGTACCAACCGCTAGCAGCCGCAACCGACTGCTAGCAACCGCTAGGAGGGTGCTAGTGGGAGAACCAATCAAGCCCTAATTTTTTAAGCAAAGTGGGATATTGTATACATATTTTTTGGTTCATCGATTGAGTTATATATGTCCGTTTCTAAACATTTGAACCATATCATATGCATAATTTTTTTTAATATTTTATTAAATATATATATTTTAAAAAATTTCAAAATAATTTAAATATAAGATCAAACAAAAGTGAAAAAATAATCATATATTTATGTTTAAATTAAATAGAGAGATTTTAGGAAATTAGTAATTAATAGAAAGTAGTTAAGGTATTTTTGTAAAAATTAGGTTAGGATAATATTTTTGTTAGATAGATTTTGTAGGGACTAAAAATATAAATACGAAATTGAATATGGATTTGTACCAAAAATGTATATATAGATAGATTCACATAGAAATTCGTATATTCTAAATAGAGATAAAAATTTCGTGTGGCAGATTTTTATTGGTCGACTGGGGTGGAGGATATGAGATTTGGATTGGGAAAGTCCAAGTGAAGCCCACCCACACAAATGAATCTTTTCAGATACAAAGAAAGAGCACAGAAAAAGTAAATAAATGAAAGATTCTCAATGATTAATAGAAAATTTTCTATAATCTTGTTGATTAGTTTTTTCATAATCGGGTAAAGTTTCCCAAACAATCTCTATTTTTTAAAGATATTTTTTATGATTTTATTTTGTGAAGAATAATGTATAAAATCAAAAACCAATAATAACTTACAAGGAAAAAATCATAAACCAATAATACAATAATTTAATTCATTAACAATCATAGATTCTTTTAATTTAGTTGAAAAACACAAAGAATTTTGCTGATTTTGATAAAATCATAGAAAGTAAATAAATGAAAGATGGTATTGGTGCCAACCATGGGAGCTGCCAACATCCGTAGAAGTCTATCCCCTCTACATACATAAGTCGAAGCTCTTCTTTGGGCGATGAAGTGTATGATTGGTGCTGACAACGAAGATGTAGCTTTCTTTACAGACTGTTCAGATTAGGTGAAGATGGTGTCTTCTCCAACCGAGTGGCCGGCTTTTTCAGTTTATCTGGAGGACTTTCATAGTGACAAGGAAGAATTTTCAAGCTTTTCTTTATCTTTAATTCCTCGTAGCGCAAATGTAAAAGCGGATAAATTGGCTCGACAAGTTCGTACCGAACCGCTTCATATCACATATGTAAACAACATTCCCCAAGAATGACTCTTTTGAGCTCTAATTTAAGCTGTTGACAAAAAAAATAAAAAGTAAATTAAAGATTCTAAACTATTGTTAGAGAGTTTTCTATAATCTTGTTGATTAGTTTTTTCATAATCTTGTAAAGTTTCCCCAACAATCTCTCTATTTTGATGATACTTTTCGTGATTTTATTTTGTGAAGAAAAGTGTAGAAAGTCATAAACCAATAATCTAATAATTTAATTTATTAACAATCATAGATTCTTTTGTTTTAATTGAATAACACAAAATTTTTAATGACTTTATAAAAGTATGAATCCAATAACTCCAAATATATGAAGATTTTAGATTACTTTTTATAAATCTTAAATTAATAACACCAAAATTTAACAAACTTTAAAAAAATCTTGATTGAATAACAACAAATTCTATTTAAATCACAAACCAATAACACCTCCTTATTGACTTTATAAGATTCTGAATTTAATAACTCCAGATTTGTTAATATTTTACAAAAAAATTTTACAAATCAAAAACTAATAACACCACACTCTAACAAAGTTTAATAAAATTTTGATTTAATAACAACAGATTCTACATAACATTTAAAATCATTAAAACAATATTTAAATCACAAACCGACAACACATTAATCTTTCTTACCTTAAGAACTCTCTTTGAAAACCCTTTAAAAGCCTTCCATTGGACATGGTCTAAATAACATGTATCGCCGAGATAAACCTAAATCGATCGGAATGCATCCCGAGCTGATCGATTTTACCGAAATTTCGAACAACCTTGACGAGGAGGAGAATATGACGTTTCCAATGGGTGGTGATACGGAGGACTACGACAAGCCTCGAGTGGACACATTAGATGTAATTCTTTTCTTTCATCTTCTGATTGTTTAGAGGTTGATCACGATGTGTTGGAATTTATATCATAGTTTTGATTTGTTGGAGATGACTAGTAGATTTCCATCGTTAGATTAGAACTGGTTTGTTTACATATTACTAACTGATTATTTTTTCTGTTAGTATTTCGATTTTGATGGTAGTATCAGTCGCTCTTTTTTGCTGAGAGCCTACCACTGTGAAGGTGACGAGTGTCGTAAGCATACTTATCTTGCCTTGGTCAAGCTTTATGCCAGGGCGGGGCTTCATCTTTACAATATGTTAAATGTAAAAACTAGCCTCCTCTCTTTGTGCTTTTATTGACATATCTGTTACAGTTTCTTGTTTTCTTGATCTGCCAGGGAAAAAACTTGAAGCTCGATCGCCTAAAGAGATTTAACAAGGATATGCATTTTCTTTCCTCATACTACATAACTTTGCTTGCATTCGATCCAACCAGCCGTTTGCAGGAAACCTTTCAGGTTATAGTTGATGATAATTGTTTTGGCAGTTTGGATTTCATATGCCCTACTGCTAGACCTAAACCCCTAGGTAAAAGTTTACTTGTGGTGAATTGTTTATTTTTACATCGCAAGTTCAAGAAATCTCACTTGTTGGCTAATTAATGTTGCCTAGTGATCACCAAGGGGCGGCCCTTCATACCTCTTCAGGATGACACATCTGTGCCACCTTTCTACAAAGGTAGCTTGCCTGAGTGGCCACCAGAGGATGCTTTCAATGACAGAAAATGGGTTTACGTGGTAATTAATAGATTAATTAGTTCCACTTCACTTGTGTTGGCATCAGTATTGCTTTGCTCATGATAAGTTAAGTAGGGGTTTTTTCTGTTTTTTGGTAACTGCTTTTGCAGGTGAATGAATCAGAGTTGCAAAACACTGATTGGATTTATCTGTATTTGGAACTTGTCATTTGTTCACGCCATAGGGAGATTTCAGATGTAAGTTTTTTCTCTTTTTGCATATCAGTGACA